TGTTAGCTTTATTTTAACTGCCAGCAAGTCAAGTATCAGGAGAAATTATGTTGCAATTGTCTTAAGAAAAATACCTTAAGACAGCAAGTATCTTGTTTACTTAAAAGCCTAGCCATTAGTTGTTTCCTGAAAGAACCTATTTTGTGTATTTTTAAAAATATGTACTTTTCTCATTTTGTTGGTAACTAGCAAAATACTTTTCTACTGAATTCTAAAAAGTGAAAGTGCTCTCCTAAGTTTAAGGTGGTTTCTTTTTTTAATTAAGAAATTTTGATAAAAATAAAAACTCAACAAAAGTGGTGCAGAAAAATCAGCATTTTTGGAGGTTCAAAAAAATGTCTGATTTAATGTATTGATTTAAGGCTATGCAGCTCTCTATTCAGAAAAATTTTCCATGTGTAAATATGTATACTTGGTATTTTCAGTACATTTTTGAAACTTCCCCCTCTAAGATCTTGTATTCTAAAACATCAGAATAACAAATCTTTGCAACTTTAGTAGCTATCTCAATACTCTCAACTGACAGATTTATGTAGGATGTTTTCTCACATTTATAAATTTGTTTTGTTTTGCATAGTAGAGTCAGTTCATAAAATGTAGCGAGCCAAGAAATTCTTCCAATAGCCAAGAATCAAGTTGCAAAGTAACACAAAACAGGAGACACGAAACAGAGAAATTAGTCCACAGCAAAACAAGGGAACCGCACAAGGAACTCTGGGCTGGCAATCTCGCAATGTGAAAGGTTAATCACAAGATTTAAAATCTAATCTTGCTTTCAAAGGCGGCTCATGTAATTGCATACATTGTAAAGGAACATGAGAACAGTGGGAACAGAAAAAAAAAATTTTAAACAAGCGGGCTTGATATAAGCTGTAAATTTAATATGGAGGAAAGCAAAAAGTTAGCCTGAGTAAGCAGAGACGGCCGTTAAGGGTCAGCCAGGGAACTGCGGCGGTAGAAATGGCTACAAAGAACCATTTCTAAAGAAAAGGGAACTTTTAATTTTGGTTGAATACGTTTTCCAATGGGATACTCCCTAAAGACCCTTTAAATTCCATTCATTCATCTTGCCCAACTGATATTTATGGGAGCCCTATTTTGCACTGATATGATGGGAATACAAAGACAAATGAGACACTAGAGGAAGGAAGTCCTAGCTCTGAGAGCACAAAGCAGAAAGTGAGAGTGCGGGAGTGAAAGACATGACTCCACAGAGGGCTTTAAACTACGCCCTGAAGCGCCCGACTTGGCGGGAGGAGGTGGGAATGAGAAGGTGTGCGTGGCAGAGGGAACTGCAGGAACCAGATCCCGCAAAGGGAAAGGTTGGAGTGTGTGCAGAAGGCAGGGAGCAGCCGGGGCCAGAAAGGTAGAGGGTTAAGATCATGGGCCCCAGGGGAGTTGGACTTAATTCTATGGAAGGGGGGAAGCTTCCGTTTGCTGTGTAGGGACCCAGGAATGGTTTGATGCAAAAGGTATTGGAAGAGGTAGAGCCTGGCGGCAGGAAGGGGTGGGGCAGCCTAGAAGAGGAAGAAAACATAATGTAGGCAGAATGTATTTCAGGGAAGTAAAATGTAGAAGTTTGTATTTTTGGGCTAAAAAAATACATACATTCTGAAGTTTGCCACTTCTTGTGAATTGCAAAGGCAGTGTGGAAGTGCCACTGAGGAACATGGAGTTTATCCAGGAACAGTGGAAAACTCTGACCAGTTGGTGTCACTCAGACCCAACACCTGGTCTTGCATCTCTCTTGGGGTGATGGCCAGGAGCATCCAACACCAATGCCAGGGACATCCAACAGACAATAAGCGCTCCCAAGGTGGGCATGTAATTCTCTACCACAGCATGAATGTGGGTGTCTTTTAGGCCCATCCCCCACACAGAACTATCAGCCAATCCAAGAGCACCCCTGTGCCCAGAAGTGTGCTAGCAAGGAAGGAAACCGGCTCCACCTTAACATCAAGGAGCGGGAGCTGGCCTGTGTTGGCAAACACATTCAGAGGTCCTTGGTAGTAACTGCATGGCATTACGATTTGTGGGAGACATTACTAAAATGGATAATGGACAAACGAGTAAACAAAAAAACTTTGTTTTTATAGGTGCATTTCTTTTTTTGTGAAGGTTTTTATTTAATGAATACAAATTTAATATGTACAGCTTGTAGGGATATATTCTTTCTTTCCCCTATTCCTGCCCTCCCACCCCGACTCCCTCTCCCATTCCATTTTCCATTAAGATTCGTTTTTAATTGACTTTAAATATAGAAGATCAACTCTATACTAAGTAGAGATTTCAACTATTTGCACCCACACAGACACACAAAATATAAAGTACAGTTTGAAGACAAGTTTTAATAGAGGCATTTCGTTACCTGTTATATTTACACAGCATTTTATACTTTCCAAGGTGCTTTTCAATATCTGGTATTATTTCAGTTCCATCACTAACTCCACTCTTGTAGAGTTCTAGGAGCCTAGAGAGGTTGTGTGGCTTACCTCAAATCTCACAGCCACCTGGTAGGGAAACGAGTGCTCAGAACCTGAGCCTTTTGGCTTTTTCATCACTACCATCATCTGGCCTTTTCCAGTTTATGAGGGGACTTCAGGAAGCTTGCAGATAATGGAATTAAAAGTTGATTATTTTAGAGCAAAAACATTCTGAAATCCATGCACCGATTTTTCATGATACACATTTTCCATGATCATTTTGAAGATCTCTCATATAGATGAGAAATGTTTATTTATCAAAAGTCTATTCTAGAGGCCAGCACTGCGGCAGAGCAGGTAAAGCCACTACCTGCAATGCCAGCATCCCACATGGATGCCTATTTGCATCCCAACTGGCCTACTTCCCACCCGGCTCCCTGCTAATGTTCCTGGGAAAGCAGCAGAAGACAGCCCAAGTGACTGGGGCTCTGCACCCACACCGGAAACCAGGAAGACGCTCCTGGCCTACTCCCAGCCACTGTGGCCCTTTGGGGTGTGAAGCAACAGACAGAAGATCTCTCATTCTTTATCTCTCCCTTTATAATTCAAATAAATAAAATAAAACTTTAAAAAAGTCTATTCTAGGGGCAAGTGTTGCAATGCAGCAGGTTAAACTGTTGCTTGGGATACCTGGGTCCCATATCAGAGTACAAGTTCAAGTCCCAGCTGGTCCAGTTCAGATCCAGCTTCCTACTAATGCAAACCCTGGGAGGCAGCAGGTAAAGTAGTTATAGGGACTCAGGTTCTTGGGCCTCTGTCACTCATGTGGGAGACTGAGTTCCAGGCTCCTCGGTTTGGCCTGATCCAGCACTAGCTGATGTGGGTATTTGGAGAGTACACCAGTGGATGGAGGACCTCTCTCTCTCTCTCTCTCTCTGTCACTCTGCCTTTCAAGTAGATGAAAGTAAATAAATCAATCTTTTTTAAAAAAATTCATTCCATAGAAAACATGCTTCTAAATTTGAGAAAATTCTCAGGTTTTCCTGAGTTTTAACAGAAAAAATCCTAACAGAGCTTTAAATGTTAAATGAAAACCTAGCTCGTTGTGCCCACCTGGAGCCCCCTAGTGGCAGGTAAAAAGCAATCAAGAAAATTTGAGAAGGTTTTAGGATACAGACATCTTGGGAATTTGGGGGGATCTGATTTTATAGACAAATGAGGATACTAACTCACAATTTTCAAAAGGGGCTCATCTAATCTAGTCCATTCACTAAGAAATCAAAGACCAGGAGGGTCAAGCAATGGGTTCAAGCGCCCAAAGCTAGTACTTTCTCTAGTAAAAAGGAACTTAGCATCTTCCTTCTTGTCTCTCTTTTGGATTAACATTCATACCACCCAATGTTCTTGGGAAGTAAGGCACGGATAAGCTCCAGGTAGTTGCAGAAATAATTGTACAGATAGACACATTGTAGCTCCTGCTCTTAATACCTATATAGCCTATGTGATTTCATCTCCCCCATCCCCACAGAGCCTCAGTTTTCTCATTTGTAAACCAGATACAGACTGATTCCTCTTCACTGGGTGGAAACCTTGTTTCAAGGATTAAGTGAAATTCTGCAAGAATGGCACATACTAACCTACTAACCATTCCTCACGTGGTAGTTATCACTCTGTGGAATCAGCCATCTCTGCTTTGGTAAACTCAGAACCACTAACCATTAAGCTTCTTATGTGCCTTCTTCTGTATATCAAAAATAAAAAAAATTTCAGGAGAAGTGAGTGTTTTGAAGATGCTCTTGTCTCCAGACTGAGAATGGTTATCACATGACCTCTGAGACACCAGCACCTAGTGAGCCCAGGGGGCCTGATTCTTCTTCCAGGCTTAATGTGAGGGTCCACCTGGAAGCAGTACCCAGGGAATTAATCTCTTGCCCATTGCTCAGCCTCATGGTGGTGTTGGGGAAAAGGAACAGCAATATTTCCCCATATTTCATCACCTGATCCTAGTACCTCTTCCAATTGAAAAGCCTTGTTGGTATCTCTTCTCCTCAGCTGTAAAAAGTAAATAAATGGAAATACCCAGCTCTTCCCACCCCACATAGTAGTTCTGAGATTAAATAAGATCCAGTCTGAATCCCAGAAAGCTCCAATACTTTAGAGGTTACCAGCACCATTGTGGTTCAATACTTACTTCCTATCTCAGTTAGTTATTATGGGTCTAGCGTGTGCCATGCATTGAATACAAAGAGCAAATGAACATGGTCCATGCACACCCAGTTCAAAATCTAGTGCTCCCTTGGTTTTCTATTATTCTTGTTACTATTGACTAAATTAAGATGAACTATATACCATATGTAATAATAAAATATTTGCAATGAAACTAAGGCCCTATACAGTGCCTTGGATGCAGATGCTAGATACCGGAGAGGTTGAGTAGCTTGTCTCAAATCTCACAGCCACTTGCCAGGGAAATGAGTACTCAGAACTTGAGTCTCTTGATTTTTCCATCTCTACCACTTATGACTTATGAGGGGACTTCAAAAAGCTTGAAGATAATGGAATTAAAAGATGATTATTGTGTTTGCTTTGGCAACACGTGTACTAAAATTGGAATGATACAGGGAGGATTAGCATGGCCCTTCCACAAGGTTGACAAGAGGATTGTTTTGGAGCAAAAACATTCTGAAATCCATGCATAGTTTTTTCATGATCCACACAGATACTAGTGTCCCAGTTTCCCAGCTTCCCTCCCTTAGCTTAAATTACCTTGCTCTGCTTTTATGATTGCAAATCAACATTTTACTAAAATTAGCTTACTGAAATGAGGGAGTGGTGCAAGCCAGCCCTATGAGGTCCCCAGTCTCCAGATTCTTGAGATCATTTACCTCCCCTATAGGTAACATCTTCATGTTTCATCTTGTCTTGAGAGGTTTCTTTTCCATGAACTCCAGATCCTGAGCAAGAAGTAGCTGCCCCTTGTAGGTAGCTCCAAGACTGACTGGACCCCACTTTGCTATCATCAAAATTCCCTAAAAGACACCCAATCACCAACCAATCAAAGGAGACACAAGACTGCAGACATCCGTCTAGAAGAACATCTACCCCTAACCCTTGGAGAGCCCAGGAATGACCCAATAGTTGCCTGACTCCCAGATATGCAGCATGCAATAAATATCTCCTTTCTTCCACCACCCCAATGTCAGTGATTGGCTTTCTGTGCGTCAGGTGAAGTTTGGGAGTTCTATAGCAACTCTTGCAGCAAGTTTTGGGGGTTGCTGTATATCAACAATAGCTATCAATAGAGTGCCTAGTGTAAATTAGACATTTATTGTATAAACAGTAAAAGGCACTTTGTTGGAATGCTTAGTTTTCTGCAAGTATTATGTAATTAGCTCCCAAGAAACCAATAAGTGGGCATTCACAAATGAAGCTTTCGAAGCTGAGATAGAGGAGTAACTTGTTGGAGGTCTTTCTTCAAGTAGCCAGCAGGCCCAGATCTAGAAGTTAAATTCAGCATTCCTTTCACTACACCATTAACAATTACTGAAAGATTTCTGTTCCCTTTAAATCATCTGGGGACTGTTGCAGGCACTAATTCTGAATTTAGCTTTAATGTAACATCACATTGATTGGCTCTTCAGTCCATCACTTGGAATCCCTTCTAAGACTCATATTTTTGAAATACAATAGCAAAAAAAAAAAAAAAAAGATCCCTCCAAAGGAACAAAACTATTGAAAGCTTTTCAGATTCTCTGTAGAATTAAATCAAATAAATCTGGTGGACATCTCTTTCTGTAATAAATATGTTGGCCCAGCATTTCTGTGATGCCTTCATAAGCTAACTTGAATTCATCTCCACAGCAGACGCCTAAGTGAATGCTGCCTGTATCTTTGTTAGAACCTCAGGGACCTGTGGTACTGACAACAGAATATGGCCTTCATAGAAAGGGTAACTATGTCCCAGTGTGCTTAGAATTTCAGTCTATGCATTTTTGCTTCTGTGTAATTATCAAACATACCATCTTTAACTCTCAAAAGGGTCCAGGTTTGAACAAAAAACATATAATGACCCTATGAATAGATCGTAGGGGTAAAGAAAAATTTCTCACTTTCTTAGGAATTAAAAAGGAAAATAGTATATCGGACTACTTCTCAGCATCCATCGTACAAAAATAGGCAACATATCTGAAACAACCATGCGCATACATGGACAGCCGTCAGCTCAAGACTAGAAGGTAAGTTCTTTGATCATCCCAGACTTCTCCCCATAGGCATTTTGCAAGCCTCAGTGAAGATATGGAGAATCCAAGAGAGAACAATAGTCTCTCTGGGCAAACAGAGGACAGTTGTAAGGGAGAGAGAGATAATCAGCGTCTGGAGGGAACGGTACTTTCTACACAGTGAAAGAGCACTGTAAGTCTTTATGGATCCCATGAATCTCAGACTGAATGTTAAACTGCACGTGCACAGGGTACAAGTTCACGAGCCCGGGCAAAGAGCAGTTATTGCAATGCTCCACGCTGAGCAACTGCAGCAGCTCGCACAGATCTCAGGGACACCAGACTTCTCCAGAGCAGTGAGGGCTAACAGAATAACAAGGGCATCTACTAGAGACCCCAAAAGGCTGCATCTTAAAAGCAGAGTTACAAAGAGACCAAGATGGTGGAATAGGGAGGGAGCTTACTGCTCTAGTCTAGGGGAAGACATTTGAAAAAATGTAGAGAGAGCGCAGTCTCAGGGAAGAGTTAGGGAGAAAACGGCAGAGGAAACTCCATACAACTTAGAGGGGCAGTGTGGACCTGCATGGAAGATGTGGATGCACACAACTCAGGATCCCAGCAGCAGAGAGCCTCAGTACCAGCTTTGGAGTGAGGTGAAACTGGGCCGCAGCAGCCCAAGCCACTGGAGATAAAGCTGCAGTAAGAGCCTGGCAGGAGTCTGGCTTGGAGCCCTGTGGGAGACAGTGTACCTGCCAACCTAGAGGGAAAAAAGCGGGCACTTTTCTGTCTCCCCAGACACCCAGCACCAGCATCCTGTAGCTGGCTGAGAGAGGGCAGTCACTATTTTGGACACACGTCACAGCTGTGCCAGTTCATGTCCGCATACCCAGCAACCAGCCAACAGATGTGTGAGTCTAGCTGGGAGAACTGATGGAGGGCTGGGTGCTTGTGACTATGGGAGCCCTGTGCACCGGCACTGTGGCTGTGTGGGAGGGCACAGGGTGTGGCTGGGTCTTTGGGCAGTCACTGTGGGCAGTTCCACATGCTCAGGGCTCCCTGATTCCCCGGTGGGGATGATTGCTGCAGGATCCTTTGTGAGGTTCTTGTGGCAGTGTGAATGAATATTATACCCACTGGGGCTAGGGATCAGGCATTGGTCTCCTTGAGGAGAGGAAGTGAGCTGACAGAGCAGATTAAACCTCCCCTCTGATGATGATGATGATGATGATGAAGGAGGAGGAGGAGATGAAGGAGGAGGAGGAGGAAGAGGAAGAAGAAGAGAATGGCAAGATATATTCTGTCTTAAGATAAAAAACTGTCAACCCAGTATACTGTACCCTGCAAAGCTCTCATTTATGAATGAAGGTGAAATAAACACCTTCTATAACAAACAGAAATTAAAAGAATTTGTCACCATCCTCCAACTTTACAACAGATGCTAAAGGATGTGCTGCACACAGAAACACAGTAACATGGTCATCATAAAATAAGGCGAAGGCAGAAAATCTCTCAATGAAAGTACAAAGAAAATCCAAAGTAAACAATAGGAATATTTATGATAAAATGGCAGAGCCAAGTCATTACTTATCAATAGTCACATAGAATGTAAATGGCCTCAACTCTCTAGTTTAAAGAGACAGACTCAGGGCTGGAGCTGTGGCATAGTGGGTAAAGCTGCCCTCTGCAGTGCCAGCATCCCATATGGGTGCTGGTTCGAGTCCTGGCTGCTCCACTTCTCATCCAGCTCTCTTCTATGGCCCAAGTAGAGAAAATGGCCCAAGTCCTTGGGACCCGGCACCCATGTGGGAGACCTGGAGGAAGTTCTTGGCTCCTAAATATGGATTGGTGCAGCTCTGGCAGTTGCCAGTGGATAGAAGACCTCTCTCTCTGCCTCTGCAACTCTGCCTTCAAATAAATAAATAAATAAATAACTAAATAAATAAATAAATCGAGAGAGAGAGAGAGAGAGAGAGAGAGAAAGGCCTTTCAAATAAATAAATAAATCTTAAAAAAATTTTTTGAAGGGCCCTAATGGGTTCAGCCACCCGGTATGATACCAGCATGCCATCTATTTGTTGCCTACAAGAAACACACCTCACCAACAAAGATGCATGCAGACTGAAAGTGAAAGGATGGAAAAAGATATTTCATGCTAACAGAAGCCAAAAAAGAACTGGTATAGCCATCTTAATATCAGACAAAATAGACATTAACATAAAAACTGTTAAAAGAGACAAAGAAGGGCACTATGCAATGATTAAGGGATCAATTCAACAGGAAGATGTGACTATAATAATAAATATATGCACCTAATTATGTAGGGCACCTGGCTATTTAAAGGAAATGTTAATGGATCTAAAGGGAGATACAGACTCCCATACAATAGTAATGGAGGACTTTAATACCCCACTTTCAGCAATGGACAGATCAACCAGACAGAAGATCGGCAAGGAAATGGCAGATTTAATTGACACTATAGTCCTAATGGACCTAATGGATATCTTCAGGACTTCTCAACCTACAGTTGCAGAATACACAGTCTTCTCACCAGTGCATGGAACTTGCCTTGGATAGACCACAGGCTAGGCCATAAAGCAAGTCTCAGCAAATTAAAAAAAAATCAAATCATACCATGCATCTTCTTTGACTACAAATGGAATGAAACTGAAAACCAACAACTCAAGAATCTCTAGAACATATGCAAACACATGCAGACTGAACAATATGCTCCTGAATGAACAGTGGGTCAGAGAAGAAATCAAAAGAGAAATCAAAAAACTGTTGAGGAACAGATTTTTTTTATACTATTTAACTCTTTACTTACTATAGAGTTAACCTTCCATGTATCAAGTTAATCGAAAATAGATTTTAGTAAAAAATAAGAATGGGAATAGGAGAAAGAGGAGGAGAAGGGTGGGATAGTGGGTGGGAGGGGGCAGGTATGGTAGGAAGAATCATTACATCCCTAAAGTTGTATTTATGAAATTCATGAAGTTTGTATTCCTTAAATAAAAGGTTTCTGGGGGGAAAAAAAGAACAAACAAAGTAGAGTTACATTATGCCAAGAATAAAATTTTTTCTAATCCAGTCTTAACAAAGCTTTTTAAAAAAAATTGAAGTTTTTTTTTTTTTTAATCTACTTGAAAGGCAGAATGAAAGGCAGAGAGACATAAAGACAGAGAGAAAGTGGGAGGTCTTCCATCTACTGGTTTACTGCCCACATGCTTGAATCAGCCAGAACCAGGTCAGGCTGAAGCCAGGAGCCTGAAGCTTCATGCTGGTCTCTGACATGAATGGCAGGAGCCCAAGCACTTGAGCCACCATCTGCTGCTTCACAGGAAGCGATATTGGAAGTGGGGCAGCTGGAACTTAAACCAGGAACTCCAATATGGGATGTGGATGTCCCGAACAGTGGTTTAACCTGCTGCAGCACAACACCTAGCCCAAAGCTTTCGTGTCTTTTC